TGATGAGATCCAAAAAGATCGAAATCGCGATCCGCGTCTGGCAGTTTCGACAGAATACAGACCACTTCGAATTATTTTGTTCAATTATGGTAACGTGCCTATCACGTTGAGGTGAACTACGCCGGGATTCGATTCAGCAAGTAGATATCCATATTTTTAAATGTACCTTGCTGGAGCATACGTAATCCTAAAATGTGGCATGGTACTACAGGTTGCGCTCACCACGCCATTTGTGGTATTTTCTAATACGCGCTGTTAAAACAGCAGGTAAAGGTTGCTCTGTGTTCTGTCGGGACTACCTGCGACGCGTTGGTGAGATCCAAAAAGATCGAAATCGCGATCCGCGTCTGGCAGTTTCGACAGAATACAGACCACTTCGAATTATTTAGTTCGATTATGGTAACGTGCCTATCACGTTGAGGTGAGCTACGCCGGTATTCGTTTCAGCAAGTAGATATCCATATTTTTAAATGGACCTTGCTGGAGCATACGTAATCCTAAAATGTAGCATGGTACAACAGATGGCGCTCACCAAGCCATTTGTGGTATTTTCTAGACATAATTATGTTAAATATTCATACTATTTTCTAACACACATTTATAAATATAACTGTCTCTATGAGGGATGGTGGTAATTCGTTCCTTCACGGTACCAGTTCGCCCGCCGCTTTATCTGTCTGATATTTTCGAATCCAGTTGGACCTTGCGCAAATTTTAACGACGAGAATTATTTTTCTGTTTAGACCTCTCCTTTTTAAAAATTTATAACTGTTATATCCGGCCCACATTATCACAAGGTGGCGACAGTCTACTTCAACCCCGAATTCCTCCGTCTAGGCAAGTCTACAAATAATACTGCACCCTGCATCAAGGAGTCAGTCTATCTACGGTACAGCTAAAAGTCCGCTCCTTTGTCGGTATTTATCTATTATAAGTGTAGATTGTAAACGAGTTCTTTTATAATAAATAAATAAGTTTTTCGAGTTTAAAAATCTTTTTTAAAAATCCTACCCTTTGGACATTCGACATAACTGGCGCTGCGAACAGGATCTGGAAAGCGTCTCTGGAAAACCGGAAAACCTACGCTTTAGAATATCAATTCTACAACGTCCACATCTACAAAAGAATCTGAAACATCAAAAACAACGGTTTTCTGTCCATAAGAACATTCCATTCCACTGAGGATTGAAACTTCTGCTAAAAGGCTGCAAATTTGGAGGATTTTGAAACAGGTTGGTGCATTTTTCGTATCTATCCTTTCTACTTGTCCTCTCCGTTAAATTCTACACAAGATAGCTATCGCAACAAATCCCATAGATACAATTAATTAATTTAAAACGAAATTTAATTTGCTCAGTAGTAGGGTAAAATAACCGATTCTAGCACAGAGGAGTAGGTAAGTGACGAAACGTCATCGATCGTAAACCTGTAACTGTTAAATGGTTACTATTAAACGGTTGCTGTTACTGGTCACATGATGTTAATGGCTCTTGACGATGTCAATGAGTGTAAGCATTAATACATATATTGGTTGTATTTATATTACAAAGAATGCGGATTTTAAAAAGAAGTTATTGGTGGAGAGAGGAAAAGAAATAGGAATACGTTAGGAGGGAGAATGTGGTTGAGTTGGACAGTTAAATGTTATGTCGATAATTAAAGGAAATGTTGTTAAGGTTAACGATTCTTTATTTTGATATAAATAAAGTATATGAGTGCTACAATCAAAATATTGAATAATAAAATTACATTAATAGTGCTTACAACTTGTAGAAATAGGAAAGAGTCGGTGATGTAACCCTTTGATACAGAGCCCTCTCTGTTTTCAGCCTCATGAAGGTGAATCCATCGGCTTTCAACGTATTTTCGAGACTGTCCATCTTTTTCAATGAATGCAAGTTTTACAGAGTGCAGGTTTTCCACGTTTTCAATGGTATAAACATTTGTACCATTCACATTTTTTAAAATAACAGATCCCCAATTTTTCATCCATGCACAAGGCACATCAATATCTTTATTAAAATTTTTACAAACATAGGCTTGATCACCAATTGTATTATCAGGTCGTGAAATGTAGAGGGTGTTGTTATATAAATATGTTAAAATCAGCAACGACGATACACTGATCATGATTGGTTTTTCCATTACAACTAAGATGATGAATACGAAGAACGTGTTCTTATTGCACTGCCCCTCCAGAGATACCTGTTTTAGTGGAAGGGGTTTTAGGTACATAAGTTACGCGAATGAGTGAAGGAGCAGTAGAAGTTTAGAAGAGTTGAGTGTGTAAGTTAGTAAACATGGAAAGCTTTATCGAAAAGTTTAATAGTGTGCGGGTGGGTTATGAAGAAAAAGAAATACGTTCTCTAACATCATTGGAAGTGAATCAAACGTATCCCGTACAACGCTTCAAAAAGGTTCACACAAAATGGGGTCCTCGTCTGTTAGCTGATTTGTACAGCTTTGTTATATTTCTTTCCTGCAGACATGCAGAAGCTTTTACGGATGCAGAAATCGAGGATATAAACGATAAAATAGATAAAAAAGTGGGTCGTCCATCAATTCGACTCAAAGGATTTGTCGGAAAAGCAGTTGATATAGAAATACAAATGTAAAATGTATAGCGTTATGTAAGAGAATAAAAAATCTATATTTTATTTTAATGTGTTTTATTTGTTTAAATGATTTTATGAGTGTAAAGACAACCAATATTTTAATAAAAGAACATTTTTGTAAGCACAAGTTGGTTCTATAGCTGTTTTAAATAAATGATAAGAACACACGTTTACTTTAAAATCAGCTGCTAGACTTAAGAGAGATGGACATTCGATGTCTTCAATGTTAACAAAGTTAACATTAGGAAAGTATTCCAATAACCACATTTTCTTTTGTAATCCCTTAACATATACAATTGTTGACTCCATCAATATAGGATGAATACTATCATAAATCGTAGAGTATGGAACATCACCGTCATCCCAATATAACCCATGAAAATTTCTGGTTAACCAACGATTTTGACTTCTGTAACGAACTGGGAGGGCGTCCCAGGGAAATGGTGGCTGAAATGTGAAATGATAAATTGGTTCTTCTTTTAGCGCAACAATAGCTACTTCCTTGAAAACAAATCGATTCTCACAACATTGAAAACCTTGTACATCTAGTATGAAAGTCATCGTGCTCACTGTTCAGTACCGGTAAAGAAAGTGAAGTATGGATGTAGTCATTGGGTTTTATACTTCTTGAACCAAGTTTGTAGAGGGATTGTAACGTATCACACGATCATGAATGATTAAACAGTAAGCTGCTGTTTTATCTGGTATATTGCGTTTAGTTTGAATTTCTAAACGAATATCGATACTTCCAGATTTCACAATTTCATTTTGATAAGAGCAGTCTACTATTACAAGAGGAGCAATTGTTCGAAATTCCTTAGGATCGAATAAGGGTTCACTTACATTACCATAATACGATTGTTGAAAATTAACATACATTTCGTACAAAACAGCAAATCTGGAAAGATCAAAATCTAAATTCAAATTATCATACGGGTACATAGTGGATCCTAAGTGAACTTTAAAATTTGTTAGGTCGCAGTGATCGAAAACACTCTTATTTTTTGTAATATCATTACCTTTATCGGTTTGAAAACCGAAAATAATGAAGCGAGGTTTTTCCAACTGTGATGTAGTTTTCACAGTCCAGTTGTGAGAATATGATTGGTTAAGTAAGGGATATTCATGTAGTTCCCAACTACGAAAAGAAAGTTCCATATTTAAATTGCGATCAACGTAACGTAATAATTTCAAACGTTCAGCGTCAGCAACAGATACATGAGGAATTTTCCAACATATCTGATCCAAATGGACATCAACTTCTTCAGCCGGTGTTGCTGAGCAAAAGAGGGCATTATTGTCAGTACTGCTGCGAACTAGAACTAATTCTTGTCGTATGTTGAGTATTATTTTTCGAAAGTCTTCTCCAAACCCTAAAATCATACGAAGAGGAATACAAACGTTGAAGTAACCGTTTGTATCAATCAGATTTCTGGTATGAAGGGCAACTCCTTTTACAGCACCTAAAGCAGGAGGCAACCATCCACTATTAATGAGACGTTTACTTTCATTTTCATTGTAAGACGCATAGCCTTTCATTGTTGTAGTCATACCAGGATTTCGGACTCGATCAATAACTTTTCCTCCCAATTCATATCGAATTTCATCAAATAGGTATAGAATTCCGTTATTGATAAAAGAAGTATTAGTTGGTACAGTTCCATCCTTTTTCAGTAAACGTCCTTCTATGTATACGAAACTACCGCAAGGTAAGGTGTAAACATCTTCATTTTCTATTGGAATGCGTTTGGTATCATTATTTTTAAAAGTTGAATTAGCATAGGGTTGATGAGTATGTTTATCAGCGTTAATAATAGCGTTGTCGAAGATTGCTTTCTCGGTGACATTTAGTATTTATGCAACCATTTTAACTTTTCACATTTCTCAATCGCAACCCCAAAGATTTAAGGAACTGTTTATTAGACGGTGTTAATCGCTGAACGGGTGTAAGCGAAATAAATGTCTCAGAGTGTGGTGATCGTTTTATAGTAGTATTTTTGTTGGAATAGCGTTGCCCACAGTTGTATCGCGCAACCATGTTATAGTTTTCGTAAGTGAAGTCTTACTGTACACGCTCTCCACGGAAATTAACAAGATTACCGTCTTGATCAACTATTTTAAGGGAAATGTAATCGATGAGTAGTATATATATAGCGGTTCTGGATCGTAGTAGGGATGATTATTTATGGTATTATTATCTCCTTTCTGCGCATGCGCGGGGCGTGGCTTGTGTATTTTTATTTCTGATTGGTTGTTTTTTGAGAGGGGGCGTGGCTTGTGATATCTTTCGACCAATGAGCGTTCGTTATTTTTGATAGGAGTGGGAGTATGACCGTATATGGTATTTTTTTTCGAGGAGGCGTGGCTTGTGATATCTCTCGACCAATAAGCGTTCGTTCTTTTGGATAGGAGTGGGGTATGACCGTATATGGTATTATTTTTCCGTTATGAGCATGCAGGGTGTGGTGTGTGTGTGTGTTCTTGTTTTCTGATTGGTTGTTGTTTTAGATGGGGAGGCGTGTCTTGTGATATCGTTCGGCCAATGAGAGAACGCGAGCGTTCGTTAATCTTGAAAAACAAGATGTCGTCGTCGTGGGAAAACTACTGCTGCGGCGGCGGCGGCGGCCATACCTGAGGCGTGAAATATGAATATGTGTGATAAGTGATAATGATTGTACTATTGTTTTTTTTTGCAGAGTGGGGTGGATCATCTATTTTGAACTCTTTCCTTATTATGATGATTATAAAAACATGGATCTTCCTGGAATTCTTGGTGTTTTTTTTTATATTAAATATTTTACGCGCAGTAACGGCTCCATAACTAACGTTATCTAATTTTTTCAAAATTGTTTATATACAGCATTTGAGATCTTATCTGCTTTGTGTTTGCGGTTATAGTAAATTAAATTAAACTTTAGCTTTCATTTAGATTATAATATTTTTTATTTACATATAGGTATAATACAAAGCAGTGTGGTGTCTTATAAAATCAAAAATTATAGGAACTGACTATTGTTGTTGTAGTATCCCATGTCGTTAGGAAACATTTGCGATTCGCCGCCGACGACGATATCCTCCTCCTCATCATCCACAAAAGTTTTATCGTCGTGGTTGTTGTCAGAGTCCTCTATAGATCGCATCGCATTTAGTAGTTCATTTTCTTGTTGTTGTTGTTTTTCTTGTTTGTCCTTAAACTCTATACATTTCATTAATTCAAGGTTATATATCTTCCCCTTTTGTCCATGATTTATTAATACATAAGTAGACGTAGATAATTCCAACAACTGTCTGTCGTCTAAACCGTTGTAGCGTTCAGGTAGAAACAGTCGCTTATCGCCATCTAATTCAGCAAGCACCCGTTCACCGTATTTACTTGTAAATCGAGTCATTTTAGTTATTAAATAACCCTTTCCCTGTTCCATACTATTCAAATTTAAGAAATTGTACGCACCGAAAGAATTGAATGCTTGTATTAGAGACACCTGATTCTTCCCTCTATTGTTTGTATGGCTGGTTGAGGCTTTCGCCTTAGACGATACCGCCAGTTTCCTAGTCTTAGTCGTTGTGGAGGTCATGGTAGGTTTCTTTTCCATTTTGATTTTGATATTCAAACGGCAACCTCTATCAATACAAATAATATTAAATGCTTAGCAGATGCAAAGTTGAGTTTAAGCTTGAAATTTGAGTCTTTTATACTGATATAACCTGGTAGACTTTTGGAACGAGAAACACGTGCGCCTAAGGTGTCATTCATGAAGAAAAGAAATGGTGATTATAATTTGTTTTTATAATTAAAAACAAAGGTCGATAAGTAGATCCGTTTGACGTCAATAATTTTTTGCATAAAAAAGACTCGTACCGGGTGTTAGATCGTCAAAGTACATACTAGAAGTGCTACTGAACGTAAGTATAATAATGGTTAAAGCGTCAACAAATCTACCACCGCATTATAAGTCGTATAATGACTATTACATTAAAAGGGCGATTCAAACATCATCTGTTTTGCGTAACGCCTTCTTTTGTATCAATAAGATCAATGCAAGGAATTTGTCAAAGAATGATCTGTGTAGGATTATTCTAAAAAGTGATATACCGGATTTTATAAAGAAAGCTATTGAACCCTTATACAAACCAGAAGACAGCGATTATGACTCTGACGAAATAATTCCTGACGATGGAAATTAAGTAAGAATAAATAGCAACTTTATTTACGTTATTTACTTAGTTCTGAATTATTTTGTTAAAGATCATCACACGTCTACACAGCAGGTTATTTCTAAATAAGAACATATTTATATATATCTAGTTTGTATTACCGATAAGTGAAGTGTTCAAAATGGTTTTATGTGAATTTTGCGGCTTATCGTTCGAAAAACTAAGGAAACTGCTAAGACACTGTCGATTAATACATTGCGCTCGTAACCTTTCTTTAATGTCTATAAAAAGAAAACAGCTTCAACCGTCTAGCAATGCTGAACAGAGCTATTTGGTTTTATGAAAACGTAAACCTTTGAAAGCAGCATCGACTTCAAACAGGGTTTCGAAGATATGTGAAGTATGTTTAGTAGAAGTTCCTTTAAATGTTTGGATTCCACACCTCAGAACC